ACTTGTTATCCAGCCATGGGATTTGGGAATGAAGGCTTTGGGATAGTCTAGGTAGAATTCATTGGTCAGAGCCCACTTCTACCAGGTGCTGCAGGGAAAGGCTGGGGCCATCAGCTAAAGCAGGGGTAGGCAACCTTTCCCCTTTAAGGGCTGAGGGACTTCAGCTCCCAGAATCCCAGGAGCTATTGGCCAACATGGGATTATTGGCCAACATGGCTGAGGCTTCTGGGAGCTGAAGTCCCTCGGCCCTTAAAGGGGAAAAGTTGCCTACCCCTGCCCTACGGCTTTGATTTACCAACAATAAAGCTTATCTTACACCAATGATGTATTTCACGTTTTGGAACCAAACAGTCTTGAAGAAGCCTGGAGTGGTACTCAGTTCAAGCTGCAAATGCCACCTGAAGACAAAGGGTTCCCTGTGATTCTTCAGGACCTGCTAATACTCTCCTGGCATGCTAGTGGTCCTGCTTTGGCTAGAGCCCCATCAGCATTCACTAGCTGATTCTGAAATGATTGTTTAGACCAGGGGTCCCCAAACTACAGCCCACGGGCCAGACTCAGCCTGCTGAGGCCTTCCTACTGGCCCGCGCGCTGCCCCACCACTGCCTGCACTGCTGCCTGTGCCGCCACCGCCGCCGCTCGCGCCGGATGCCGGATGCCATTTTGGCTTCCAAAATGGCGTCCGGAGTCATGCACATGCGCCCGGCATTGCATGCGCATGTGCACGACTCAGGGCACCATTTTTTCTTCCAAAATGGCACCCGGAGTCATGCGCATGCATGTGCGACACCGCATGCATGCACATGACTCTGGCTGCCATTTTGGAAGACAAAATGGCAGCCAGAATTGTGCACATGCGCGCGTGCATCCAGAACCCCGGAAGATCTGGGGGCCAGCGAACCGGTCCCGGATCAAAAAATCCGGGGACCCCTGGTTTAGACTGTTGTCATCCCAGATTCATTTTCCTTTTTTTTTTTAATGAGAAATTCTGCAACATGCTGGGTGCAGGCAAGATGCTACTTAGGTTTGCACAACAAAAAACATTATGCCTGGAATCCTTACTGGTACAACTCACTGTTTTAAGTGGTAGTGGTGGGTGAAAAAACCTGTGAGTACACCAGCCATGACAGAGGTAAGACAATGAAGAAATAGCCTGCCCAGAGCTAGCAAAGTGTTCATTTGGAAATGGTGGAAGACTGTTCCACAAGCATCTGTCCCTCTCTCCTTCCAGTAAATGTATAACAAGAAGCAACATTGTAAATAACAATTTGTTACCCCTTAAATCCTGAGTCAGGAAATCAAGCACAAAAATTAGTGTCTGGACTAGATTATGGACCTCTTCCACCATTTAATTCTTTTTTCACTTGCTCTTAAACCCCTCCCTCTCTATTTTAGAGAAGAAAGGCAGACTTCAGTCTCTTGGATCTAGTTTCTTCTGTGATAGTTTGTCTCACTTGCCTCTCTCCTTTTCCCTGCGTACAGCTTTTTTTATTTCCATTAAGACCTTGTCATCCAAGAATCTCTCTCCCTTTCTTTTTCTCTGAGCATACATTTATCCTTAATCATCGTTTCTTGAGTCTGGGTATTGTTTTCACTGGTGGAGCACAAGTCCCACCCAAAATGCCTAGATATCAGAAAGCTAGAACATTTGACTCAACTAAAAATGATTCCATAATATTTTCTTTATTAGTTAGCATTAAAAAAATACTTTATTTTAAAAGTTGGATTCCTAAGGAAAAAAACAAATATCCATGAGCCAGAAAGCTCAAAGGTAAAGTTAAGGAGAGAATTAGATATAGAGTGGTTGTTGAATTTGGCTGTAGGCATCCAAGCTAAGGATATAATAAGTGACAAGCAAGATAAAAGCACACTTAGGCCTTGTCTGATCCTTAGCTATGGGTAGCTTACATATTTGCCAGTCACTGGAAATCTGAAATAGTCTTAAGAATTATGTTTAAGTCAGAAGTTTATATATTTGGCACTTGCTAACAAGCAATAGTGTACTATGTTGGAAGATGTTCCTAGGTGCATCTGTTCAACACACAGTTGACTTAGCCAGCTTTGATACAGCTTTGATTCCACCTGATGGAAGAAGAAATTATGTGTGTTAGGACTTTATCACACGAGGGAAATCCCATGCAGAAATGGAGTTTTAAATAGAAAAAAGCCCGCAAAAGTGGGTAGATTTTCACATGACGTCAATGTTAAAGTGTGCTTAACCTGAACAGATAGTAGTCAAAAGCAGCTTAAATCCCAAAAGTAAAAAGAAACGGCTTTTGACTATTTTCTGTTTGGGTTAAGCACACATTAACACCAATGTGTGTGAAAATCTACCCACTTTTGCAGGTTTTCCCCACCTTTTAAATCCTGTTTCTGTGCGGGATTTCCCCCGTGTGATAAGATCCTCTGGTTGAGTTTTTCTACCTTAAGTGGATGACAGATGCTATAAAAGCCAACAGTGCAAAGGATCCAGCAATAGAAATGACAAGTATGCAACTCTGAGTGTTGAATGTGGGGAATTCTGAAGAAAATGTCACTTCCTCCTGCCTCTTAAATGCACAAGAAACCCATTGATCCCTCACCTGAAGAGGGAATACATTTAGGTCAGGGGTGCGAATCATAAGGCCTTTCAGATGTTGTTGGACTGCAGCTCCCAGCATTCCTCACCATTAGCTATTCTGGTTAGGGCTTGGAATCCAAGTCTGGATGGCCTCATACCTCATACCCCTGATTTAGATCATGCACATGTGTGACATGTTTATATTTTCATATAATTATGTTGAATTTTCAAAAAATTAACCCCCATGTTTTTCTGAGAAAGAGCAATGTTCCAGTCAAGTTGAACTGGACAGAGTTTAGTACATGAACCAAGTCATGCAAGTGTATTTTGGGGCAGATGATAACCGTTATGATTTAATTCCAGTAAAATAGAAATAACTACTCCAGCTCCAGTCTGATCTGAGCTGCTAAGCAGGATCAAGCCTGGTTATTACTTGGATGAGGGGGCTGCCCAGGAACCTCTGGTGCTGTAGGCTATATTTCAGAGGACAGCAATGGCAAACTTACCTCTGAGTATTCCTCGACTAAAAAAACCCTATGAAATTCATCTGGTCATTGTAAGTAGGCACAAGTGACTTGAAGGCACAAATGAGCTCCAGGTACATTTGCTGTTTGTAAACTATCTATTATGAAAGCAATTTAAAAAAGACTCAAAAGCATCTGTTCCATAGGTTAGCATTTTACTGACATCACTGCCTACTCGAAAGTGAGTGGGTGGCTGGAGGGGGGAAGAATAAGAAAGAAGGGAGAAATGGCAGTCAAGTGGCAAGCAGAAAAGATTTCTTAAAGCAAGAAATCTACTACTGGGAACAACTGTGCGAATTATTTGGCAGAGAGGAATTTAAAGATGTGCAATAAAAACTTTTCCCTGCACAGAAAAAGTGGGGAAGGGTTAAAGATTTCTTTGGGCTGATTTCTTGGGAATGTGCATGGGGTAAATGATTTTCCCAAGCTATGAGGAGTTAAGGCAAGAGCCAAGATGATTTCCACACCCTGTTAGTTAAGTAGTTTCAGTCACAGGTAGGACGTTATCACACGTGGGCCAGAAAGCGATAATAAAATGGAAAT